AACAGAAAAATTGCATTGGTTCAGAATGTTTCTCTGCTATTTGGGAGGCCATCTAACATAAAAGATAAATTGTCTCTCCCAAGCAAATGTCTTAGAAAAGGCCTACATCAATGAGAGAAGAAAGGCTCTAGATTAGCATATTTAGTGGAAATGTAATATGACCGATTTATATAATTCCAAATGTTCTAATAATCACATTAAAAAAGGAGCAAGAAACAAATAAAATTGAGAGTATATATTTAAACCAATGTATCCAAAATATTATTTCATGACGTAATCAGCATAAAAATGTTAAATAGAAATTTTACATTCTTTCCTCAGGTTAAGTCTTTGAAAGGTGATGTGTAATTTATATTGACAGTACATTTCAACTCACGCTAGCCTCCTTTCAGGTTTTCAATAGGCAACTGTGGCTATTGGCTATTGTTGCCATAGATTATTTATTCTGGTCAATCATGAAACTGTCAGGACTCTACTAGCATGTAAGAGCTGGTCAGGACCCCTGTGCTACTATAACAGGTCACTGGGAGCACGTTGACCAACCTTCCACAATTGATCCCAGAGGGACTTGAGGAAGAACCATCACCTCTTTAGTTTCATCAACAAGCTGTCATGTAAAAATTAAGAACAGAAACCCCAAACTAGAGAAATTGATGTGTTTATATGAAACAGATTTGGCCGAATTTCCTTTACCTGGCCCCAGCTGGAGAATCTGGCCTGGGAGCCTTTTCTTAGTGCTAACTGTGTAATTCCATCTACCCTGTTATGTTCCATCAGCTTTATATCCTCAGTCGCCAACATATAGCTGCAACCTAGCATGTGTCTGTAAGTGTCTGTTACACTACTCTGACCTAATAAGGACCTCAAAATATAAGGGAAGGAAGAAGAACTTGGTGTCTTGAAGTAAGATGAAATTCATTCTGTAGACAGATTGCTCTTACACTGTCTACAGTGAATTGACAGGAACACTGGATGTTTAAGAAAGTCCTCCACAGGGTACCCACCTCATGCTAGAAGTTTTCTTCAGCCTTTTGCTATAATCTTACTCAGAAAGATTGGAAAATAAATCTTACCTCCTAAGTAATTCAAACTTACTTTAAAGCATTTCTTTTATTATAACAACGGTGCATTCAAAATGCTATCTCATAGGTGATGAGAAAAATGTTATAAATTATTATTAATGTATCAATGCTACATTATTCAATGGAGAAACTAAAGGCATTAATGTAATTTCTCAATAAGAGCTGAATATGTAGCTTCATGTCTTTGTCTGATGCACATATGGAGATGGAAGTAAATCGATTTAAGTATCAGTATGCTTGTCATTGGCATGTCTGTCTTGGGGTCATCAATGAAGAATTTTCAGGGTGCAGAGTAACTAAAAGAAGTAATTACAAATAAAAGCCAAACAATGTTAGGCAAGTTACTTAAGCTTCTTAAACCTCCATTTCCTTATCTGTAAAGATAGGAAAAGAATAATGCCTAACTCATTATTGTGGAGGCTAACTTAGATAAGGCATAGTGTTTGTGTTTAGTAAGAAGACAAGCACTTGGTAAATTCTTAAGAAATGGTAGCTATTCATATAAACACATTTGATTTCGCAAAAATGAGGTAAAAGGTAGAGGAGGATAATAGTAGATAATTTATCTGTTCTTTGCTAAAGCTGGAAAAAGTGTGAATCATGCTAATGACTGTTTATTTTACCAGAATAAACACAATTTCAGACATATTGTGACTGTAAAAGGAGGTGATGATTCTATTTCCTGCCAAGTCATTGGGTATAGATGACTTAGTGGCCCATATTCTTTGAAACACCCTTATTTAATGCCCAAGATATCTGTTTTTTTTTTTCTTCTGTCTGGAGACCTCTGTGCTCACAGAGGGAGAAGGCAACACCCCATGGTTAGAGAACAGAATGTAGAGTCAGACTCAAGGACAAATATTCCAGTCTTGCCACATACTCTTGAATCACCTTCAAAACATCATTTGGATCTAGAGACTGCAAAACCTTTCCATCTTTCAAGCTCTTTAGAACCTTCAATGTTGCTCAAAGGCTTGGAAACCCAATGAGAATATTATTGAAAGAACTATGTCAATGTATGCATGCTTTTATCAGATGATACTCTAATGACTACAATAATGACTTCACTGTAATAAACAATTGGGTGGAAAAATCAGGCAAATGACAGAAAATCTGGAGAGTCATGTGACTTTTTTCTCAATGGAAAAGGAACCTAATCTAAACTGCTTACTGAGTTGGATCTGGCCTCTACCCTTTGTATCTGTTTCAACAAACGGAAAAGGACGATTATAACCCACTGAATTGGTTTGTTCTCTTAAGTAAGTCTTAAAAGGCTCCACCTTATTAAGTATATCATTAGTTTCTTTAGCACGTCCTTTTCTTACACAGAATGCAATAGTAATCTACAAGTTAACTCAAGACAAGGTATTTCATTCCTTAAATTATTGGAAAACATACACTTTAAATGTATTGAGTGGCTGACTCAAACATGTCTATAACTACCAATGGCAAAGCAACATGGTCTCTGTATCAGGAATGTCTAAGTTATTGAAAAAGATAATGGGAGTCAGACACCCTGGCGCTAAATTATCAATCTGCCTCTTAAACTCTCATGTAATGAATGTAAGCCCTTTAAATGCCTTGAGCTTCTGTTTTCATATATGTAACTGTATGTTGTTAACTATTCCTTCTCTATATGTCACATAGTATTGTTAAGAGAGGGAAATGAGAAATTGATATGCAACCTAAAGATAAATCGCAATAATATTACCTTTTTTTTTACAACATTATGTTTAAAATTTTATAGTATGGCCTACAGAATTTGGATAGATGAACAAAAGATTCATAAAATTTAATTTCTACTTATTTCAAAAATAGGGTTTAATTAAACCATTTAAAAATAATATCTCCTTTTTGGGCCAGGCACGGTGGCTCATGCCTATAATTCTAACACTTTTGGAGGCTGAGGCAGGAGGATCCCTTGAGCTCAGGAGTTTAAGACCAGCCTTGGCAACACAGCCAGAACTTGACTCTACAATTTCTTTTCTGTAAATTAGCTGGGCATGGTGGCATGTGTCTATAGTTCCAGCTATTCAGGTGTTTGAGGTGGGAGAACTGCTTAAGCGGAGGAGGTCGAGGCTGCTGTAAGCAGTGGCCATGCCACTGTATCCAGCCTGGGCAACAGAGTGAGACCCTGTTTCAAAAAGGAAAAGGAAAAGAAAGACACCCTTGTTTCATGCTTTGTAAAATTTTTCCGAATCACTTTTATGCATGGTCTCAACTTTCTCCTTACGACCCCTTGAAAGTAGGTGGTGCAAGTACTGTTTTCATTCTCAGATATTCAAATTGAGTTAAAGAAAGCAACTTAATGAACTTAACATAGATTTCCACTAAACAATAATGACAACAACAAAATCAGCCTTGCAAGAAATTTCCAGTCCACCACTCATTTTTGGCCACCATAATTTTTCCAGGATTCTTAAGGCAATTTTCTAAGTTCATAATTACCTTAGTTGCATGCACAATTTGGGTAGTTAAGTAATTACATGATTTGCACATGCAAATACTGCAATCATTGGCACATAAAATAATGCCGTTTAAACATCTGGGCCTGATGGAGGACAAATGGTCAGGAAAATCAGAATTTCTGTGGTTCCCAAAAGGGATCACTATAAATAGAAAACAAGTTGTTCTCAGATGTTTAGAAAATCCACTGACTTTAACCTAGAGAAAAGAAGCAACATGGAGGCATTCTAATTTCAACTCCTTCTCTCCAAAGATATCCAGGTACTGAATAAGCTATTTGGAACCATAAAATGTCTGAACTCTAATCAGAACATTTGAGTATAAAACAGAGTTCTACCACTGAAGAGGTTGAAAGTTTTGAACAAATCACTTAATCCCCAAGTCTCCTAAAATTAATCTCTAAAATGAGAATAATAACAACATCAACATTGTAGGATTGAAAAGAGAAATGAGGTAAATTATGTGAAACTTCTCTGTGAATTCTGAAATCCTGTACAAATAAGACCAATTTTTATTGGGCTGGATATGTATATGATGCTACCTAACATCCCAATAGATCAGACACAAAATGGTTTTATCATTTTTGGTTGAAAAACGAGTTATCTCTCAGGGAGCTAAGTAATTTTACTACATTTCCTCTCTCATCTTGCAAAAAAGTATAACATGAAAGGGGAATGAACTTTCTTTTATATCCAGAGGTGATGTGGCCTCAAAGAGTCCTAGATCAAGTTTTTGAACCAATAATTGAAGGTGGATGACAAAGAAACTGGCAAGAATTTCCAAGGAAAGCAAAAATTCACATCTGTAATGTTAGAAACTAGGCCTGCTGATAAAAATAAAGGAAAAAACATTATTTTAACCATCCCAATAAATTCATAAGTTTTGTGAGCTTGCTACAGTTTTGTTAAGGGGTACAAAAATGTTTTACATATAAGGCTGAATATACAGCACTGACTGAAACTGTAGCCAGATAAATGTATGTGAGACATTGTGCAAAATGGTACCAAACTAAAATTGCAAGGCATCAGAAAATGTTTTCATTAGAGAGCACGTGTCATGTCCTTGTGGGAGACTGACAGACATATTTATAACTCTTGGTATGATGGACCTGCAAGAAGGTTAAAAATGAAATTGTGGGTCATGGTAAAAGATATCACAAGAGATGTAATTCTAGACTTGTCATACTCCATTCTTTCTCACACAGGAAAAAAAAGACAAACAGATTGATAAACACATGTGTCCTCTCCTTTCCAACCCCCTCTTTCTAACTTAGAAAGCAGTATGGTTCCATGGAAAAGAAATGGCTTTGGAGACATGGAGACATTGCTATACTCTAATTTCATTATTGGCTGGGTGGGTGGACCTGGCAAGATAATAATACTTAAACTCTTAGGAATTTTCATTTGAAAACATCTAAAACATTCTCAAATTCTAAGTAAACTATAAGGGAGATTATGTATAGCTTCACCAGAATTCCAGCATCACCAGGACCCAGTTTCTTTCTATCTTGCAGATACATCCTGATGGCTATGTATGGTGGGTGGCAAGATGACAGTAGTGGCTCCAGCTTGTGATTTCCAAGTAAAAGCCAGAGAGAAAGGGCAACCGTGTATGTGGCAGAACTTTCTATACACACATGTATTTGATTCTGATTGGCTTAAAGGTATTCACAGTGGCCAGGCATCTGGGGACTGTACATTTGTGAGAAAACACATGCTGGATTTTGGAGGAGGCAGGAATTCTGTGTACATTTTTTCCTGAATTTCAGGAAATAGATTCTGGTGACAGAAAACACAGATACCCTCTACAGAGGTTTAGGGATAACCTATGTAAGGATATGGCAGTGTATGGGGGGGGGGGTTATTTACAAATTTTTCAATCTCTACAGTTCCAACGTTTTTATCTTCACTTTTATTACTTATTCACAGATAGAATCTTCATCCGTCAAATATTGTTCCCCATAGGCGGTCTCCAGACATTTCTATTTCCACAAGGAAATTGTGCAGCTTCCTGAAATGAACAACATGTAAAGCCATGGGAATTATGGGTCAGCTCCCAGACCTTTCACTTCATGGCTGCAAACCCTTGTGAAAGTTCCTCACCTCTTCATGCTTCAGGAATCTCAGTAATGAAACAAGGATAATTGCACTTACCGTGAGGGTCATGGTAAGGAGTGAAAACAAAGATTAAAAGATCCTACAACAGCATCTGCTACAGAGTAGATGCTCAATAAGTGATTCTGATTATGTAGCTTGGTCAAGGTCTTGAGATCCACTTCTTGGGGCTTCCTGTCCCACTGTCACTACCATATCCCATCCAAATGTCAATATTCAAAATGACCTTCATCCTTCACAATTTGGAAGAAGTCGGTGACCTAAAGAGAGATAGAAGCACAGCAGAACAGTTTGTAGATTATTTGAAGGGGCACTGCTGTGCAAAGAAGGGGATCCATCATAGGACAAATGTCTGCTACTCTCAGTATTAAACATTTTTCTAAAGTACTAAAATTCACTTAAGAAATTCAGAGAAATAACCAAATTCAAGTGCTTTATGAAAGGAAAGCTCTGTCGGGAAGTTAGCTAACTAAAAACTAGCTGTTTCTTATTTATCAGCAAATGACCAGCTGCAACAGGTCAGCCTAAAACCCCTTGCTATTTGACCTCATCAGCAAGCACCCCACAATAGGTCACCATTGCTTAATTAGACAAGGGAGTTTTCAAATGTAATCTCTTTGCACTCAGCAGGCCCTGGGTCAAATAGAATCTGACTAACCTGCAGCTTGTGTTTACACAGCTTCCAACAGTTCAAAAAGCCAAGAGAAGATCAGAAGCTTATCTTCAAGCCAACTGGGGTGGTGGCAGGGTGGGGGTTGGTGGAATTTGACAGAAGCTTGTAATCAGCGACATTGGAGGATGAGGGGAAGGCCTGTCATCTGTTTTGAAACGTGTTACAACAAGATGTTACATTTCTGGAAATCTGGGTGCAGAAAAAGGTGGGCAGATTCCATTCTAGTGGTTTAATTAAGAAGGAAAGTAAAGATCTAACGTCAAGTCCAGCCCTGTTGTCTGGACCTCCTCTCTGGGGAAGCAGGGGCAGTGGCAGGGGAGGATGGGGAGAAGACGAGGGCACTGGGATGTGCCGGCCAGCGCGTGGCAGCTGTTCATGGTGAATCCTATTCTAGCTCATGGCCATGTGTTCCAGCCCTTTTGGAAAATTACCTCCAAATAACAGATCACGAAAGAGCAACTCCAGCAAGCCCTATAATTTAGTCCCCAGAGGAAATTCTTCATTCATCAAGTGTACAGGAGGCTAAATTAGTTCTATACCCAAGTGGGCCCTGGTTGGCAATTTTATGTGAGGATAAACCCTACCTTGGGGAAGACTCCAGCCAGAAGGGCTGGAGGCCAAGTACTGCCCGGTGTCCAGCTGGGTCAGACCACATATTGCACCACAGACTGGGGAGAGTTCCTGGGGAATATCTCTGGGAGTCAGTCTCTGTCACTTTTTTTTTCCAGATGCACATTTTTGAAAGTTTGTGGGGACTGAGTGAATCTGCTTGCATTTCAGCCCAAAGTTGCCGGAGTGTTCTTCATCGGGGACAGAATGATTTGTCAGAAGTGCAAGATGGGATTGAACCTTTAAAGTAATTATTCAGTCCTTTCTCAGTATTAAGCCAATGTACCAAATAATGACAAATCTGCTTCTACAGTATACACAGATGTTGCTGTTTTCGTTGTTGTTGATTTGTTTTTGTTCTTGTTCCCTGAATCTATTCACAGTCTGGAAGCCAGCTCCACTGTTGGTGGCCATTAAAACCTAAACAAAACAAAAATTCCTTAGAAGACATTTGAAGGATGGTATGTTTAAGAGTATGTCTCTATTTCCCTCAGTCACAGCTTTATTTTTGTAAACTTTGTTTTTTCTTAATTGAGAGGTAGTTGAATTCCTCAGGTGTACCAAAGGTTTCAAGACCTATAAATAAGCAAGAAGTTTTCTTTGTGCCTAATCAACATGTTGCCTAGAACAAGATACTTTTTTAACATTCCCCACAGTTTAAGAAAAGTGATGATGCTAAATTTGGGTTACATTCTGAAGCTAAAAATCTTGATCCTCTTCTTAGAAATCGGATTCACTGTCTCCATCTAGGAATCTGGATAAAACTACATGCTTCTCCTCTTGGCTATCTTTTTAGTAATCTAAAAAACTACCAGTCTCATTTGTATTTATAAGACTTCTTTATACTTAAGATTTTATGAGCAGCCACTCTCTGTAAATCAAAAGTTTGCTTTGTGAATTCACTGAATGCTACAGGCAGGGCATGTTTCAAAAGAAGATTTGCTAATTAGTGGAGAAAATAATTCTGTAGCAGTAGAAGAAAGACGCTTTTATGAATAGTAGAACAAGAATTCAAAGTACAATTTGAATGAAAATACTACACTATATGTTGTATACATATCACTGAGTTCAAATAAGACTATGAAAACAGTCTGTTGAGTTGTACAGTTTTGTCAACCTGTTTATTTCCTGTTTTCTATTTCTAGGTGCCCATAGAGACTGACACAAGCATTACATCTCTAAATTTGTATTCACCGAATGTACAAAAGAAGATAGCTATTAAAAGTACAGAAGTCCCTCTTCTACCAAAAAAAAAAAAAAAACCTAAGGAAATTCTTTTGAAATGATGAAATGCATTTGCTGTTAATTCTATTAATTGGGTAGACTAATGGAAATATATATACTTTGAATACACTTTCATTTGAAGTACTCATGTCAAATGAAGCATTTCCATAATCAAAGGCAAGCCTGCCTACTCAATTTCCAATTTTTTCTTCCTTAGAATGGAGTAGGCAAGAAAAGAATTCAGAACTTACTAGAAAACACGGATGGTCAGAGTAGAGGGAGGAATAAACATGAATTCATTGCTTATTCACATGGGTGCTATGAGTTTAGTATACATTTGACAATTTGCCATTTAATAGCAAGCAGAGGCAGAAGTGCTGATTAAATTTGTGGGACAAGCCAAGAAGGTTGGAGGCTTGCCCACCTCACAATCATTTAAACTCAGACTAAAATATTAGCACATAACAATATTTGAGCATAAATCTTGACTCATTTGTAGAGACAGACAGATCTTGACTCATATTTGTAGAGGCAGACAGGGCCAGGGATACTACAGGAACATAGATACTGAGTATGTCAAACGGAGAGTGAAAGTCCAGACCAAACCACCGTCTTTACCCTCCTCTAGTCTGTGCATCCCCCTTCCTCAAGTTAGACATTCGGCACTGCACAGATTCACTACACATTTTTAATATTTTGGCGTGAGGTCTTCTCTAAGAAAAAGCTCATCAGCTTGTGATGAAGAGATGGAAGATGTTGAAGCATGATGTCTTCAAACTGCTCAGAGAAACTTGTGGATATGAAAGCAAGTCAAAACTGTGTCAATATAATTGCTACTTCTGTTTTTATTCATTCATAAATAATCACATGAGGTGTATTATATACCAAAGCACTCCTGTCTTTGCTGGTAATAAACTAGAGAATCAGAAAGCACGTGGAGTCTTCCTTCAAGTGGGTTGAAGTTTGCAAGTGTTCTGGGGAATAGATAGTAAACAAGAAAATGACAAACCAACAGGACAAAATCATTTAGTAATATGCACTGTTAGGAACAGAGTAATGGGCCAGAAAGTGGAGAAAATAGTAAGTGCAAAGGTTTGAGGGCAGGAATATGCTTGGTATATTCTGGGAATAAAAAGCATGCTAGTGTGGGTTCATGCCTAATAAGAAAGGAGACATGGCACCAGGTGAACTCAGGGAGAGAGGCAAGGGTGGAAATTTGCACAGCCTTGTCAGCCTTGAGCCTTTGCATCAAGTTCAATTGTGAAGAACTGGAAGGTTTTTATTTGGGAAATTACATGATATGATTTAGAATATTATAAAATTGCTCAGGTTGCTTTTTCAGAGTGTATTAAAGGAGCATGTGGTGAAATAGAAAAGGAGGCTCTTACAGTGATATAGGACAAGTACAGATGGTAACTTGTACAGGAACCTCGGTAGTGGAAATAAGTCAAGATATGCAAGATATATTTTATTGTACCTAACAAAGTTGACTATTTGTTTATTAAGTAAAATGTCACATATGAGCACACGAGGGGAAGGGGCATTTAAAGGTTTATGGATTGAGGAGGACTGCTTTGGTTCTTTTCTACCTAATCTATTCTGCCAATTTTACCAACTGACAGTAGAAAAGTTACCAAATTGCACTTGTGGAATATTTCTCTTAGTGCTTACCAGTTTGCATTCCAACAGGATTTCATATCACATAATATATTTCAAAGAATGGTATATTCTTCTTAGGACAATAAAAGACATGATTTGTGTGGCTGTTTTAAATTTTCAAATAAAAGATTGGCAGTTGTCACAAGACACAAGGAAATTCATCTCCCAATACATTATTTTAAATGACATTATGTTGAGCAGGAAGGAAACCAAAATGCTATTCCTCTGTCCGTAATCTGTAAAAATTGGAAAATGGTCCTCACACAAAGTTGATCAGCATTGAACAGAGGGGACATTACATAGAAACTAGTTATGTGACATAAATTCATAAATATATCCATGAGAACCAGTTATGGATCCATGGTCTTGAGGCATGTTGAGCTCCAGGGACTTTGTGGATGAGAAGGTACTCTGCTACCCTGTAAAACTAGATGTTTCCAAATGCTTTATTGGTTGCCTGGCCATGCGACAAACCCTCTAGAACAATGTTTTCCAGTAGAAATGTAAGGTGAACTACATATACAAATTTGCATTCTAGTAGTCATTAAAATTTTTTAAAAGGTAAAAATAACTTCAATAATATATGTAACCCAGTCCATACACAATACAATTATTTCAACATGAAATCAATATGCAAATTTATAATAACGTGTTTTCCACGACTTGTTCATACTAAATCTCTGAAATATGGTATGTACTTAAAGAACATGGAAGTTAAACTAATTGTATTTTAAGTGTTCAATATTCACATGTGGCTAATGGCTACTGCATTAGACATCACAAATCTATAGTGTAAATGCGTGTGTGTGTGTATGTATGTGTGTGTCTGTATGCACACTAATATAGCATGTCCTTGAATAATATCATGTTGTTTAATGTCATTTTGTTATAATGTTGACGAGTGGAAAAAATGATTTTCAAGTGGAGTCACTGTCTCTGTGAAGTTTGCACATTCTCCCTATGTCTTTGTGGATTGGCTCCAGGTCCTCTGGTTTCTTCTAACATCTCAGAGATGTGCAAATTAGGTGAATTGGTGTGTCTAAATGGTCCCAGTCTATGTGAGCATGGTGTGTGTGTGCATGCTGCAATGGCATAGCATCCTGCTTAGGGGTGGTTTCTACCTTAGGCTCTGGCCACCCATTACCCTGAGCTACAAAAAGGAGTAAATAATTATCTTACCTGTTTTTATTAATCTGTCTTATAGATATATATAACTAATATGTAGCTCAGTATTTAATATTACAAGTGTTTGGGTCATCATGTAGAGGTTTGAACTGTTTTGTGACCAGAAATATGCCATAGAAAGGTAAGTTTTGTTTATATCAATTAGCCTGTGGTAAAATTGTTTTCATTATAAGTTCTTTTACTAGAATTGGAAGTGTGCAGATACCTATCAAGGATGTTAAGTGAGGGCTTACTGTGTATGTGTGTGTCACGTTAGCAATAATTTGCTCTCAAATGTTCAAAAAGAAAATAATGGATGTCAAATTATAGACATGACCCACTGGTGGTTCATAAGTAGACAGCTAAGGACTGCCAAAATACCTGCAATAATGTAGTGTAAATCTGGTAGCCTCGACTTTTGAGAAACTAGAATCACATTTTAAAGATCTGTGACTTCATTTGGGCTGTTTTTTGCACCTTAACTCTGGTTTATTACACTTAGAAACAAAAGGTGGAACACAGAAAAAAAAAATCAAAACCTGTGGTTTTTTACTTCATTTTTTTGGTTTGCTTTACTTTGTTTTTGTGGTTAGTCAAAAGTTAAGCTGTAAAGGGACAATTACATTATTTCTAAAGTATTTTTTAGAGCACTTGAATCTCCAGGTGTGGACTTGCACTTTTATGTTTACATGATTACAATGACAAAAGTTTCTCAAGAAGAGAATTTGTATGCAAGATTGCGGCTGGGTGCCAAGGGAGGTACTTTGATATCGTTGGACTTCAGATAAGTAAACCATGATCAGGAAGTAGCACCAGATGTGACACACACCTGAACAGTACAGTCCTCCTAGCACCAGACAGAATCCACCTGAATAGCATGAGCATTCCAACACTGGGCTCTGAATCCACATCAGTAGTCATTGTTACACTGCTTGTGCTGGGATAGAAGTGGAAATGGTGTTAGTCCATTTTCATGCTGCTATGAAGACATACCAGAGACTGGGTAATTTATAAAGAAAAGAGAATTAATTGACTCACAGTTCCACATGGCTGAGGAGGCCTCAGGAAACTTACAATTATGGCAAGAAGGCAAAACAGGCACATCATACATGGTGGCAGGCAAGAGAAGTACCAAGCAAAGGGAGAAAAGCCCCTTATAAAACCATGGGATCTCATGAGAACTCACTACCACTAGAATAGCCTGGGGATAACCATCCCTTGATTCAATTACTTCACAGTGGGTCCCTCCCATAGCACATGGGGGTTATGGGAATGACAATTAAAGATGAGATATGGTGGGGACATAGTGAAACCATATCAGGAAGCAATGTCTTTGAAGGTCGAGAGGCTTTGCAAACCTCTCATGCAAGGTGACATAAATTGACGATGCCAATTTAATTACTGTCCCAAAGCATTGACAATTGTGACTTATTGAAACCGCAGTAATTCTTGCCAACTATGGATAGACTTAGTTACAAGAAAATACATAAAATCTTTTGAACTATCTCACCCTGAAAAGACAGAAAGAGAGGATGGTATCATGAAAATAGAAACTTCCTCAAACTGGAGGAATAATTCACCCTTATTTCCAATGGCAAACAGAATTTTCAAATTGGAGAGAGCTTTTTCTCCCCGTAACATGTTGAATAATATGCATTTTCTCAGAGCAGAGCTAAAGAGTTCACTATTTTCCAGGATCTGGAAGATTCTTATAGGGTAATAGCAGTGACTGAAAATAAGTCAGAAGCAAATTTTTTGGCATCCTGAGACTGGCCGGTAAATATTTAAATAGTGAATATATCAACATTGGGAGCATTGTTTTTTCCAATGAAAGCAACATTTTATGCTAAGTGAATGAATGAATGAGTGAGTGAATGAATACATATATACATACTAGCATTTAGGATTAGGTACTAGCCATAATTTTAGAGTTCTTTACTTCACTGTAGATGCATTTCACAAGGAATAGAAATTTGCAGAGGTAAAAGGACAACATGGTAGTCAACTTACCTGGCCGGGGAGAGATTACAGTTCACCCATACTCTTAGGAACTATACTTATTTCCTGGTTTACAGGCTATAGGGTGTTTCCTGTACTTACTGTCACATCTCTTTAGGTGGTCATATCTGTATACATGGTGGGTTGGGCTGAAGATTACCTTCTTCTGCCAAACTTCATTTCCATGAAGGAAGCTGCTGGAGAACTGAATGCAGGCGACCAGTTTCTGAAGCATGCAGACAAGCCGAGACCACATTCAGCCTTGATACAGAGAGAAGGCAGTACATCCAGGCAGACCTTCCACTCATCCTGTGGGGACTGAAGGGAGCATACAGCCATAAGCCTAGCCAGTAGCACAGACCTTTTTCTAATTGCTAGAATTAAGAATTATTTTCATAAGAAAAAGCAAGATACATAGAAGAATATTTTCAGCGAAGGAAAAAAAGAGGTAGGAGTAAAGTAAGTTAGAATACAATGGCAAGTTTTGTTTAGTTTTTACCATCTGGGGCAACAATCTACCATTTCCAAAATAATAAGCGTGAAATAAAAGCATCTTCATTTGTAAGTACTCTTTACTATGCATAACTAAATATGCGTGGTCTAGAATATGGCCTTGTATCAGGGCATTGTTTTAGGGAGAAGGAGAATTTGCATTGATAAAGAAGTAAGATGGAACTGATTTCACCCTTTCTCCTTTATTCTTTTCCCTGGACTATCAGTGGTAATAACGTCATTGACTTCAAGGTCTCCAAGCTTGACAGGTCCTATTGATCGGCAATCACAGTTCAGATTCTCCTGATCTCTTCTAAGAGATTATTCAGTATCTATATGTACACCTTTACTGTCTCTCAAAATGTATTTTTCCCCTCATGGAAGAATTCTATTCATTAGAAATTTTTAACTTATATTGAGTCAAGCTGTTCCTACTTCCAGCCTACATTGACTAACCTTAGTTCTTAGTAAATCATAGATAATATCCCTATTCTGGGCTCTTGAGGATAACCATAGCAGGCGCAGAACAAGCCTCCAACATGACTGCAGCACTTAGAAAGATGCAGTTGAAGGAGAAATGAAGACTTAACAATTAGTAAAAATGTAGCTACTGAAGGGAACCCGTATCTCTGTGTGCAATAGAATTGAGAATACATTAAGGATGGGAAAGGCAGGGGAGATTGCAGGGAGAAAGAAAAGCCTAGATAAGCTGAAGTAGGGGACCTCCCCAGACACAGCAGGAGGAAGTGCTGGCAAGACAATTGCATGGATTGGGTAAACTGCAGGTCAAACACGAAAGAATTCTTCATAGACACCTGTGAAACAGGTACAGCGTTTGTCTCTGGCAGAGTGCTAAGCATTGCATTTTAATATCTGATAGGTCTAAATTATTTTAGGAATGGTGTCTCTTGAAAAATACCAATTAATACAACTACTGTAAATTTAATTTTATTTTCCACCTAGCATTATGCCGGCCTTGACAGTTGTTTAACTCACAAATCAATTTATATCCCATTTCAAATTTCTACATATAACTGCAAAACTTCAGTTTTTGGTCTTTCCTTATCCAAAGCATATATTTCAAACGTATTTTATAATTTTATTCCTTCAAAACCTATTAGCAGTAGGATACCTTAAGTCATCATTTTACTACAAACTTTTGTGGAATGCTGTTCACTGGAGCTACGTGGAGTAAAGAAGTTGTATCCAATCTGCTCTTTATTTAAAAGGAAGTCTTGTTTTACCCTCTATTTGGAATGACAGTAGCCACAATAAACACAAATATCTACTATTGATGCATTTTGTACTATGTCCATAAAAGTCATTAAGCATCTCTCTAAAAATTTATTTTTGGCCGGGTGCAGTGGCTCACGCCTGTAATCCCAGCACTTTGGGAGGCGGAGGTGGGTGGATCACGAGGTCAAGAGATCGAGACCATCCTTGTCAAAATGGTGAACTCCCATCTCTACTAAAAATACAAAAAATTAGCTGGGCATGGTGGCACGTGCCTGTAATCCCAGCTACTCAGGAGGCTAAGGCAGGAGAATTGCCTGAACCCAGGAGGAGGAGGTTGCAGTGAGCCGAGATTGCGCCATTGCACTCCAGCCTGGGTAACAAGAGCGAAACTCCGTCTCAAAAAAAAAAAAAAATTTATTTTTCTGACTTTCCATCTCTTCATGCAACGTCAAGTGGCTAATAACATGTTGAGAAGGTTGGCAGATATACAGATGCTTACATTAAGGAAATAGTGCAAAACTGATATACAAGTCTCATACCTCACAGAATTATTTTGTATAAGTGTGCAGGCCCAGGGTTGATTAGTCTTAGCTTTGAATCTTAGTATTGCTATTAATTAGGTTACATGAACTTGAAAATACCACTCGATGGACAGTTTTCTCATCTATAAAGTGCAAATGATTATAGAAAAGATTAAATTACAAATTTTATACAGAAAAGGAACTTCTAGAATATCTGGCACATTGCAGTAAATTTCTAAAACTGTTGGGTCCTTTATTAATTCCTTCACACATCTTGACTAATGTAAATAAAATGTATATCCAATTTTTTTGAAATAAAACAGAATAAGTAGAAATTACAGTTTATGTGAATACTTTAAAAAAATTAAAATATATGTTCACTATATAGTTTGCTTCCAATTTCCTATCAAAGAACCAACCCATATGAGCTGCATGTAGTCTTTTAAGCAGGGACACTACATAATTTGCTCTAATATTTATATTTGGACCTGACAATAAAGTCCCAAATGTCTTCAGAGAATTTTGAGCAATCTACTGGTGGCATGTAAGGAAAATCTGACATTGAGTTTCTCATGTGGACAGGGTTGCTTGAGAATTTTTAAGTGAACACCGTAAAGTATCATCCAGAAACAAAGATTTAAATTCTGTTTCCTTTCTGTAAGTCAAATTTTCCTCACAAATGCTAATAAATATGTTTTGCCCAAATAGATAATACATAATCTATTGTTCCGTTTATCAGATGATCCTAAAGATAATTTTAATCTTCTGTTTATTATTCCAAAAATTTCAGAGAATTGTCACCTTATAATCTCAAATTACATTACCTACTCTTCAGAAATGATTCTCAATGGATTTATCTGTATCTCTTTTATTATCCATTGAAGATCTCCATCATAAAACCATATGAAACACCTATATCCAACAAAGCTTGCAGAACACATTCGTGAATAACTTTCAGGTTGTTTTACAATTTGAAACATAATATTATGGAATTAATTGTTTTAGAAAGTGTACTTGGTCCTAATCTTTATGTAAATATTTATGTGCACAAATGTTCACATTCAACTTTCCATAAATCTATTGAAAGTAGAAATATTTTGCTTCCATACATTCAAAATTATATGATTTTACAAATTAAATAGGAAGTTACATAGATCACCTATGAAACCTCTGCAGCCTTGAACCAATTAATATAGCCTTCTAAGTCATCAAAAATTAGCTCTTGAAACTTAAATAATGTTTAAAAAGTTTCTTTAAAGTTAAGTGAAAGAAGTTAAAGAAGTGTCTGTCATTTCTTTCTGTCCTGGTCTAATGTAGCCTTTTGCATTATAGGACCAGGCTTTTGAGTGATGATGCACATAAAAGACTCCAGAAATATTTCCAACAAATGATTCCTTGTGAGTCCATGTTCACAGCTTCAAAACGTTGGGCAGGAACTTTATCTCAGCCAGGCTGACAATGATAAGATTCTAAAACAGAGGGAACATAGACCACCCACGCCCTGCTGTCTCAAAAGCAGACCCACTATCTGCTTTCGAGCAAATGCCACTATCACAATGCAAGTAGCATCTCCAAACTAACTGTCCTCTTGAATGACAGGCCTTCATGGAGTGTTATCTAATTGTCTAAGAACGGGAGGGAGAGGAAGGCATGTGCTCATTTTTATTTAAATGTGTGGTTCTCACCACTGAGCCTGGAGAGAGCAGAGGGGAATGTTGATTTACTCACATCACTTTATCTTGAAGTCAACGTGCCCCTAGTGAGTATATATTCTGTGATTTGATTTTTTTCTTATAAATATTGCCTGACAGATACTACAAAAAGGGCTTCCCTATAAAAACCATGTAGAAGCTGAGGAGATGTGTCTACATGTATATGAACACTGCCAAAGGTGATCAAGTGGCAGCTGACAGCAGAGGATGTGAATCACTGGCCTTGTTGGTTTCTATTTTGCCCGCAGAGCAAAAACATCAAAAATAAACTACAAAAACAACCAATAAATAACCTATTATT